CTGGGTTCGATTCTCAGCAAGGCATATAAATAAATAAAAGTCAAAAAAAATAAATAAATAAACAAATGAATGAATAAATAAAGGTCCATCAACAACTTAAAAAAAGTTTTTAAAAATAAATAAATAAATAAAATTTAAAAATAGGGGCTGGGATTGTGGCTCAGCAGTAGAGCGCTCACCTAGCATGGGCTGGACCCAGGTTCAATCCTCAGCACCACATAAAAATAAAGGCATTGTGTTGTGTCCATCTACACCTAAGGAAAAAAATAAATATTTTAAAAAATTAAAAGTAAAGGACTGGGGATGTAGCTTAGTAAAGCAGACCTGGCTTCAATCCCCAGTAGCAGAAAGAAAAAAGAAAAAACAAGTTACTTTTGGGTCCCAAACTGAATGGTTTTTCAGCCTCTTAAAGATTTTTTTTTAAGTATGGCATAGATAGTTTTATCAATTATTCACTCAACAGATACACAGTAAGGACCTGACTCTATGCTAGACATTGCACTGGACACCAGGAACATAGAGAGCAGGAAAAACATAGTGCCTATTCTAAAGGATCTTTGTTTACAGAAGATACAGATTATCAAAGAAAAATACAAATTGAGAAAAAGCAAAGTACAGGAAACTTTGAGAACATATTAACAGGGGGAAACTGATCTAGATTGGGAATTCCAGAAGGATTTGCTTAGGAAGTAATGGTTAAACTAAGATCTGAATGAAGACATTCACATTTATATAAAAACAGATCTCCATTAAATGTGAGAACTGGTCCAATAAGCCCAAATATGTCTGGCATCTTTAACCTAAAACAACCACTTTAGAAAAACAAAAGGATCACAAAATTTGCTATAAAAATATATGAAAGCTAGTATGGAGGAGGGGGCAGTGTCTTTCTCATCTTTGAACACCCCATATCATTTTGCCTAGTATCATTAGTATTCATCAAATCTTTGTGAAATGATTAGTGTCAGTATTAAATCAATGCTCATACTATGCTTTTTATTATTAACACATATTAGTTGTACAAATCAATAGGTTTCACTGTGAATACCACCCCCCCACACACACACACCCTCTCCTAAAACCCAGGGCCGTACAAGCTAGGCAAGTGCTCTACTCAGCTACCTTCTCAGCACTTTTTATTAAACCCACTTTTTATTAAACCCATGGGTGCACTACCCTGAATTCTATCCCCAGCACCACCACCACCCTCCTTTATTTTTGAGATAGAGTCTCACTAAGTTGCTTAGTGTCCATTAAGTTACTGAGTCTGGCCTGCCTCAGCTTCCTAGGTCACTGTGATTACAGGTATGGTCCACCAAGCCTGGCTTCAGGTTATTATTTAAATTCGTTAGAAGACATATTTTCCATATATATTTAAGCTAGATTTAAATTTCATCCAAATTAGAGCTTCTAAATGATTCGATTGTAAAACTTTATATGCCTTAAAGAAAACATGAAAAATGGAACAACAATAAAAAAAATCAAATTCGCCAACTGTCAAGAAATTTCTATCTACTGATTCCAACAATTAAACATTGGTTTTCTAATTAAAAATAAGTGTTTAGGGCCAGGTGAAGTTTCACAAGCGAGTAACCCCAGCAGCTCAGGAGGCTGAGGCAGGAAGATGGTGAGTTCAAAGTCAGCTTCTGCAAAAGAAAGGTGCTAAGCAACTCAGTGACAGCCTTTCTCTAAATAAAATGCAAAATATGGCTCAGTGGTCGAATGTCAGGGGAGTTCAATCCTGGGTATCAAAAAAAAAAAAAAAATTGTCGGGGTTGGGGTTGTGGCTCAGTGGTGGAGCATTTGCCTGGCACATGTGAGGAACTGGGTTTCATCCTCAGCACCATATAAAAATAAACAAACAAAATGAAGTCATTGTGTCCATCTACAACTAAAAAATATTTCAAATATAGAAAAAAATTTTTTAAATTATCTTTGTTTTATTTTTATTTTATTTTTTTTAAAGAATTTTAACATTTATTTATTTTTTCTTAGTTCTTGGCGGACACAACATCTTCGTTTTTGTATGTGGTGCTGAGGATCGAACCCGGGCCGCACGCATGCTAGGCGAGCGCGCTACCGCTTGAGCCATATCCCCAGCCCTGTTTTATTTTTTTATAAGTGCTAAGGATTGAACTCAGGGGCCCCTGCATGCCAGGAAATCAATCACTCCACCACTGAGCTGTCCCCAGCTCCATTTAAGATCAGAAAATATGGTCACAAAACCAGTCACTTATACTAAGAAATGACAATAAATAAATGCAAACTCACTTATAGAAAAAAAATTTTAAGTTACACTGGCTAGAAGAGTTAAATGTCTGCCACATACCGTTGACTTTATCTAGTACCCTTGAAATTTTTTTAAAAAGTAAAGTGTAAATCTGATGTGACCAGTGCTAGGACTCAAAGTTACTTGGAAAGCTGAGCAGGAAGGATCATTTGAACCCAGGAGTTAGCAACACAGAGACCCCCAACCCCATCTCAAATAGGGATAGATAAAAAAAAAAAAATCAAGAAAAGTTAAAATGCTCAAATATGCAAGTAAAGGCAATTTATATTAATTCAGGGTTTTTTTGCTTAAAATAAATTTTGTGTAATTTTTTTTTTAGGTGCTGGGGTTACATTTTTAGTGTAGTTTAGAATAGTTCTCTTGATTTTTACCCTTCAATGTGCCCCATTATTACAACAGTATTTCCAGGCAAGTGACCTGTTTTTATGGGCTATCAGATCCAGAAGAGGTTGGGGATGTGGATCAGTGGTAAAGTGCTTGTCTGGCATGCATGAGGCCCTGGGTTCAAATCCTCCAGAACCAAATAAAAAATAAAGTGAAAAATAAAAATTCATGCAGCAAGAAAGTTTTAGAAATAAACCTTTCAGGCCTGGAGGGGCAATTCAGAGGGAAAGCACTTGACTAGTATGCAAGAGGCTATGGGTCTGTTGCCCAGCATCATGATTAAAAAGAAAGCAAACTTTTGGGCTGGGGTTCTGGCTCAGTGGCAGAGCACTTGCCTACCATGTGTGAGGCACTGGGTTCAATTCTCAGCACCACATATAAATAAATAGTCTATTGACAAAAAAAATTTTTTTTAAAGTAATGCCTGCACTACTGATCATCAATATTAGTTAATTTAGCTTTTAAACACATTTTATTTAAATAATTTATAATTCTAAACTTACTTCCAGATGAATGTCAAGATCACAGCTTCCTGCTTGACAGGTTTTTTTTTTTTGGGGGGGGGTGTTCCAGGGGTGCTTTATCACTGAGCTATATCCCCACCCCTTTTTGTTTTTTATTCGAGGCAGGGTCTCACTATATTGCTTAGGGCTTCACAACACTGCTGAGTCTGGTCTTGAACTTGTGATCCTCCTGACCTACTGGGATTACAGGTGTGTCAGGTGTGTGCCACCACATCTGGCTTAACAGTTGCTTTTTTTTTGGACAGTTACTCTCAATGCTTGTTTTTTCACTATATTTTACATTTACTGAGTGTTTCAAGGCTTTAGGATTCACTAATTATTATACTATTAATTACAATACGTGCACTGCAATATTCCCTTTTTAAGCAGTGCAAATAAAAGTTAAATAACTTATCCAAGGTCACCCAACAAGTCAGTGACAAAATTGGAAGTAGTATTAAAATTTCATTTTCCAGACTACTACCTTCACACTTTGCCAATTCAAAAAAAAAAAAAAAGAAGAAGAAAGAAAAACTCAAAAGAGATTTATTTTCAGAAACTTCTAACAGCATCCCCAATACATTAGTACACTCAAACACTAATAAAAAGTATCACCTTGAACGAAGAAAAAACTTGCAACATTTAGATACAATCTTCACCTCCCTAGTTTTTGTAACCAAGCAAAAAACACTGAACTGGATGGGTATATATTAAATCTTAGGGAACATTTACTCTTCAATATGTCCAATTTTCACACTAACTGAACATTTATAAATTAATCTTTCATTATCTTGTCCCATGGGGTACATTAATTTTCGAACTCTCCCCACAGTCCAGTTAAGACCACCACCTCAAAAGTAAGCAATTCTCAAAACATAGTTCATTGCCAATGAAAGAAAAACTCAATAAATTTCTGCTTTTAAAGAGATATTTTTAAATATGATTATATGCTTCACAGAATTATTTTTAAGTCACCCGCCAAGAAGGATGGTTCCTTTAAAGTAGCTTTCAAGGCGCGTCCCTCCCTGCTTGGGACACAGCCTGACTTGTCGGACAAGATTAATCCGGGCACGCTGACACAGACACCCTCTGGAGCAGTTTAGTTCACTGAAAACACAATTTCAACTTCCAACTGTAGTATTCAGTACTTCCTACACTACAGGGACAGGATGACCCTCTTTAACTGTGCTTCAGAAGGTTCCCTCGACGGAGACAATGACAGTCATCCTCCCGCGGAGGTTTTGGGACACAGGAAGCGTCAACGCCAGGAGTCAAGGCTCCTAGGAAGTGTCAGTGCGGCAGCAGGTGGAGTAGCCCTGCGTGCCGAGCAGGTCCTTTCTGACCTAATCCTAGTCCTCCTCCACCTACCCCGGTTCCGCCTTACGGACCTTTCCAGGCCGCCCTGCGCCCCGGTCCTCGCGGGGAGCGCGGCGCCCCAG